TTGTTTAACTGAACAATCACACGATAATAAATCACAGTGCATTTAGTGCCCACCATAGCCTTAAGACCTGTGTTGAACGTGCCCAAGCCCATACTTATGAGAGCACCATGTGAGCACCTGTGTGTGTACACACACTTGTTTATGTAAGGTTTCTCTATAGGAGCGTCCAATAGAGAGTGTGAGGGACCACAGATCCGCCCCCTAAAGATGTGCAGGAGACGGAGGGAGCTCCAAGTCCCAGAGATCCAGTAGCTGCCCCAGAGCACAGAAACTCCAGGGAGACTGCGACCAGAAAAGCCCCCGCCCCCTTTGACAGGCACAGAGGATCGCCCCGGGGGGCCACAACCAGCAGCCCGCAGACTCCCACGACCCAGTGACCTGGGACCCAGGGGCGACCACCCCCGCTGGAGACCCAGCAGAGCCCAGGGACCCAGACCCCACCAGGCCGCCACTGGGATTGGTCAGGCAGATGCCAAAAATCTTAAACCCCCTGACCCGGGAGCCACGAACACTCAGGCAGACCAAGGCACCACACTCCACACCAGGTGTGGCAGGGGGAGGGGAGACGAAGATGTATATCACCGAAGGAAGTCCCAGGAGAAGGGAGGAGTCAAAGGCCCCACCTGACATATACAGTCATACACAAACACAGTCACACACTCCCTCCCTCATGCTCACACATGCACATACAACCAAAGACGTACAAAAATGCACGCCGGACACCCACTCGTGCTCCCCATACACACCCTATTCACTCTGGTCCCAGTACTGCTGCACATGGGGTACAACCATCACCGGTTACCAGAGTTTGACCCTTTCTGCTGGGGTGCTGATGAGCAGGCTCCCCCGCCCAACGCTGAGCACAGCAACCCACCACCCCAGACCCCAACAGGACGGCCGGATCTCCCTCCTAGCCTCCAGCCCCAGGAAGCCAAGCAACAACAGAGGTGTGCTAAGACCCCTAGTCTCCCTCCGCCTGCTCCAATATGGTGTTAGTGTGTGTTGATGAGGTGTATTCCATGGCTGTGGTGAGCGGGCAGTGCGGGCATCGTCTGGCCTATGCCCACCCCACTTGCACCCACAGCCCCCAGTGTCTAAGTACAGTTTAAAATTGGAAGTGGGCACCGGCACCCGGGAGGAGGCTGAGAAATCCCCCTGCCAAATGCCGTTGGATGTGCTCACTCCCAAGGCCCTAAGTGTGTGTTTGTGTGGAATGTCGTCAGTGGAAGTGTATAAGGTGCAAATAAAATTGGGGGGCAGGTTGCCACAGGAATGTGGAAATGGGGTCCATACCCGCACTCCCTGACTTGTCCACCCCCCAAGGTCCTATGTGCATGTTTGTGTGATGATGTGAGGGAGCAGGAGGAGAGAAATGTGTGGGGATGGGGAGGAACGGCTGGTTTGGCTTAGCCTTCCAGGGAGCCAGCTCCCCCACTGGCCCCAATAGGCACCTCTGTTGTCAAATTGCCACCCAGGGCATGGAGACCCCAGCCCATCCTGCAAGGGCCCAAAGCAGCAGCATCACAGAGCCTCACAGAGTCCGAGGGCACCAACCCAGCCCCATCCCAGCAGAATACCTATGCCCATCCCTGCATTTGCACAACTTCCAGATTATATAAGACATAGGACATCCAGGTAAGGTTGGATCCTCCCCCTCCTGGACCTCCCTCTCCTGGATTTCTCCCTCCCCTGTGATGGGACAGCAGAGGAGCCAAGATCTACCTGAGGCCCCTGAACCCGAGCCAGGCACTGCCGCATGTTCCTGCCTTCTCCCTGGCAGCATACATGTCAGGACCCGCTGGTGGCGCATGAGATCCCGCTCGTGGATGATGCACCTGTCCGTCAGCGCTTCAGGCGAATCCCTCCGTCGGATTATGAAGCGGTAAAAGAGCATATTAACCAACTGCTCGAGGCACAGGTAATTAGAGAAAGCAGCAGCCCCTATGCATCTCCCATTGTATTAGTGAGGAAGAAGGATGGTAGTCTCAGGATGTGTGTTGACTACAGGCAGCTGAATAATAAAACCAGGAAGGATGCTTTTCCTCTTCCCTGTATTGAAGAGTCTTTGGACGCGCTCACGTTGGTTTTGCACCTTAGATTTAGCCAGTGGCTATAATCAGGTGGCAGTGGCAGAGGCGGACCGTTCAAAAACTGCTTTTTGTACTCCCTTCAGTTTATTTGAGTGGAACCGTATGCCTTTTGGTCTGTATTTGATATAGCGCCTTCTAGTCCTGGAACCCCCCAAGGCCCTTTACAAAACAATCACTCATTCACCCATTCACACACACATTCACACACTGGTGGTGATGAGCTACGATGTAGCCACAGCTGCCCTGGGGCGCACTGACAGAGGCGAGGCTGCCGAGCACTGGCGCCACCGGTCCCTCCGACCACCACCAGCAGGCAACGTGGGTTAAGTGTCTTGCCCAAGGACACAACGACAGCGACAGACTGAGTGCAACCTCGAACCTGCAACCTTCCGATTACGGGGCGAGCACTTAACTCCTGTGTAACCGTCGCCCCTTTTGGACTGTGTAATGCCCCCAGTACATTCCAACGGTTGATGCAGAGGATTTTTGGGGATCAACAGTGTCAGTCATTGTGGATTTATCTGGATAACATTGTGGTTTTTTCCTCTAGTGTGGACGAACACCTGCAGAGACTGGAGGTTGTGCTGGAGAGGCTCCAGAAGGAAGGCCTGAAGGTGAAGTTAGCCAAGTGTTCATTTTTTAAGCAAGAGGTCAGTTATCTGGGCCACATAATTTCAGATCAGGGTGTGGCTACGGATCCCAGGTAGTGGCTAGGTGGCAGATTGCAACTACCACTTCAGAGCTACGCTCATTTCTGGGCTTTGCCAGTTAGAACCGACGGTTTGTGGAGGGTTTTGCAAAGTTGGCGGCACCCCTCCACAACCTTGTCGCTGACACGGGGAAGGGAAGGGGTAGAAGAAAAACTCAACCTGAGTTTGGTGAGAAGTGGACTGAGGAATGTCAGGTGAGTTTTGAGGCCTTACAGCAGAGACTTACCACCGCTCCTGTCTTGGCTTACGCTGACTTTTCCTGTCCTTTTATTTTAGAGGTGGATGCAAGCCATGGGGACTAGGCGCTGTTCTTTCACAAGAATCCATCCAGCTTACGCTGCCACTGTTCCAAAATACAGTTACTTCTGTAAACAAGGGAGGAAACACTGCCCGAGTCTGCTTTTTATACCCACAGCCCCTCTGGTGACTGGCGGGGTCAGGTGTTATTAAAATCAGGAGCAGATTACCTCATCCTGCTACATTTGTGTGGCGTACTTAGGCCGCACTTCCAGGTGAAGAAACAGTGCCTGAGTACAGCAGATATTTGTGGTTAAATGGGAGGAAAGTCTAAATTAAGGTAAAATATGGGGGAAGGTATAAGAAGGTGTTTATATTCCCAAGTGAGTCAAAGTATGTGTGTTTAATTTGATGAAGTTTTTCCTGCGGATGATTAAGGGGCGGGGCTACCTGTATTTAAGGGGCTTCACTGCAATTCTGAGGTTGTTTTTTTTTTTGAGAAAGCCGCAAGAGCCAGTTACTCCTGGTGGCTGTGCATATGACACTGAGAAGTGGATGTGACAGTGTGAGCGTCCTGTCACAATGTCCCGATTGATCATGCGCCCTGGCTATTTGGCTAAGGGGATGTCCCTTTGGCTGACTGGTTAGAGCGTATGACTCTCACCCGGGAGTCTGGGGATCGAATCCCGCCCGGGCCCTCGTTTCTCCACCTTGCCAACGAGGTGAAGCCTATTACCAGCTGTCATGATTGTGGATCCTGCTTGTATGTTGGGACACCTGGTGTGTAAAAAATTACGCGTATACTTTACTCCAACAAACCTGCTGTGATTCATTCAGTCTTAGTGGGCTGGAATACGTTACATCTGAGGGCCGGGGAGGCGCCATAGGGAGACCCGCATCAGAGCAGAACTGTCATTGGGCAAGTTTGGACACAGAAAGCGATGGAGGGGGACTGGGCTTACAATGAGCGGGGCAATATGTGAAGAAAATAACTTAAAAAGGTTAATAAACTTGTGGAATCGTTACCAAACAAACAGGAAGCAGAAAATGAAAAACATGATTCAATTCAAAAATCCTTTATTAATCCCAGAGGTTAACTGATTGCTGTAGTAGCTCAGAATAATAATAATAATCAAGTCATCAAAGAGTTGTTGTATATTACAATGGCTGTTGGCAGGAAGGATCTCCAGTAGCGGTCAGTGTTGCAGCCAAACTGAAGAAGCCTCTGACTGAAGACACTCTTCCGTTGTCGGACAGTCTTGTGAAGAGAATGCTCAGGGTTGTCCATCATGTTCTTGATTCTCTGGAGAATCCTTCTTTGCATCATCTCCTCCAGCGGTTCCACAGTCGTCCCCAGAACAGAACCAGCCTTTTTTATTAGGCTGTTGAGCCTTTTCAGGTCCCTGCTTCTGATGCTGCTACCCCAACAGACGATGGCTGAAGAGATTACACTCTCAACAACAGACTTGTAGAAGACCTGCAGCATCTTGCTACAGCCATTGAAGGACCTAAGCGTCCTCAAGAAGTGCAGTCTGCTGTGTCCCTTCTTGTAAAGATTCGTCATGTACGTTTCTAACATGAAATCTATCAGACAGGTAGGATTTAAACCAGCCTAACGCTTTGTTGATTCTAAAGTGTTTTAATAATGTGGAATGCTCTCCAGTAATGAGTTGAATGTTTAATCCTGTTATTCCAGATCTTATTACACCATTTGTTTAATTCAATAATGGTTTCAGTATATTCACACATTAATATTATGAATTTTTAACATATTTCTCCACATTAGGTCAAACAACCTTTAAGTGGTTGTGTCTGAGGTCTTTGATAACTTTTAACAAGTCAAAATGTCTTTGGTAGGTATCACAGAGTTCAGCTGGTGCCAAGTGTGGTACCCAGCCCTAGCTTCCTTAAATCATAAAAATAACTGGTCAGAAATTGAGAACAAAGACAAAGAACAGACAAATTCATCTTCTTAACCAACTTTATTTCAAAACATCTGAAAACATGATGTAGTCCACAGCAGGTGGTACTGGTGGCATCGGCTGCTTCTCAGCTTCAGTGGCACCTGTGAAGATAAACAACCGTTTCAGAAGCAGGTAACCCGACAAATTCCTGGAAAGTCTCCTTTCTCTCCCTCGTGTGAAACTAACGTTTATAAACTCAATAATAAATCAGGACTGCCTCTTAAATAGAAACAACAAGTTTTTAGATCTGTAGTTTGTTGCTTATCCCAGGACCCACTGACTTCCTTTATCTTCCCCTTTCCTTACATTTATCAAAATTTTATTTTAACTTTATTATATTTGTACAAAATTGCTTTTGTTCTTATTAAGCACCTTGTGATTTTTACCTTGAGGCGCTACATAGAAGTTCTTTCACTTTTTTTTTTTTACAGAACCTCAAAACAGTTTATTAGGCAAATCTAATTAATGGCATTTTAAAAGTTTTATGCATTATGTAGGCTTATACTACATATTAGATTATTCAAATTACAGAAATTACTTTGATTTTAGACACAGATTTTCTAGGAAGAATCCAAGGGGGGAACCTTTAAAATCCACATCAGAATTTGAGGATACATTTATATGAAGTAGAGGCGTTGTAGTACTCATCGTCCACACCAGGTGCTGGGATAACAGGATGAGGCAGAAGGTGGAAATGGCTAAAGGGCTATTACACCTAATTTTTTTCCTTTAATCTGCTCTAGCTCAAAAACTACAACACCCACACTTTTCAAACCTGTTCTGGATTATTCTAAACTAATATCAGATTACTATTACAATCAAGCCATTACATCTCAAAGCCACATTGTTAGTTTTGAGATGTTTTTTTTTTGTTCATCTGCACGAAGACAGAGCAGTTCAGAAGACCTTTAATGAACACTAAATCAGAGTTTGGATAGCCGGTCCTAAGGGTTACTGGAGTCCTACCCTGGAGCCAGGCCTGGGGTTGGGGCCCGTGGGCAAGCGCCTGGTGGTCAGGCTTTTGCCCATGAGGCCCAGCCTGAACCGGATACATGGGCTTATCCAACTGTGGACCCACTACCTGCAGGAGGGACATGGAAGTAGGGCCGCTCAATTAATCGAATTTTAATCACGATTACGATCTGAGTTTTGAACGATTATAAAAAACAAAACAAGCCGATTATTTGCTCCTCCCGCTTGCGCTGCCCTGAGTTGCAAATGAAGCGCTCCTCCAGTGTTGCCAACTAATTGACTTTGACGCTATTTCTAGCAGATTTTCAGACCCCCTTCTTGACTTTTTAAATCTTAAAAGTACCTAGCGAACACCTCAGAAACATCTCTGGTAACCCTTAGCTACTTTCTGGATAAATGTCGTCGACATTTCCTGCAGGTTAGCTAAACACTCAGCCTGCGCTCCGGACCGTTCAGGACATTAGGAAAGGGAATGATGTAGTGATGTGTCGGTCGCTAAAGAAACAGCTCTCGGAGTCGGCTCCCTGTTGGAGTAACCAGAGTGAGTGACACACACACACCGTACCTGCGGACTCATGAGCCACTAAAAACGGCTAAATGTGCGCGTGCGGCGCGCTAAACACACGTGCAGCTTGCCCCGATTGCTGTGTGACCGGGTTGGGGGGTGGGGGGTGCAGCTGTGGTTGGGACAATTATTACATTAACTGATGGACTTGTAAATAAATAGTTTATAAATAAGGTAGAAATAACTTCCTCACGCTGATAAATAATAACTAATCTCTCTGAGGACACGGTGCTAGTGCACTCTCCTACAGCACCTCGACACGACTCAATAAATGTTATACAACATTTTGTGAACATGAATTTATTTGCGTTTATTTGTTGTAAATGCCACTGTATAATTCTTGCTGTCAGTATTTGCAAGATATTGGTATTTGGGTCTGTACTGGTTAGACTTACATGAGTTAAACCAAGGTCTATAGCCCTTGGGTCATAGACTATGAGCTATAAGTTTACTGGTCTTTTTATACTGGGAATCAGGAGTTATTTTAGTGATCATCTTGTTTCTTGTTTATTTTTGTCCTGATTGTGCCCTGAGCAATTTTATGACTGAATAAAAACAAAAACATAAATAGAAATATCGTCCTAAATAATCGTGATCTCAATTTCAGTCACCATAATCGTGATTATTATTTTTGCCATAATCGAGCAGCCCTACATGGAAGGGTCTGGTGCAGTGTGGATCAGGTAGCAGACAGAGGCAGGAGCTTTAGCGATCTTATTCCTGGACAAGAAAACTGGCTATTGAAACATGGAACGTAACCTCTCTGGCAGGAAAGGAGCTGGAGCTTGTAGAACAGGTTGAGCGGTACCGGCTAGATGGACTCGCTTTAACACAAAGCATTGGCTCTAGAACCTCAGTCCTGGAGAGGGGTTCGACACTCCTCCACTGGAGTTGATCCAGGTGAGAGGCGGAGGGCTGGGGTGGGCTTTTTGCTAGCCTAAAGACTCACTGCCTGTTTGTTGGGGTTTACCAAAGGGGACAAGAGGGTAACTTTCCTGTGCTTTCGGCTGGGGGAACAGGTCCTGACTGTTTGTGCTTATGCACCCAATAGCACTTCTGAGTACCCATCCTGTTTTTTGGAGTGCCTGGATCAAGTGCTAGATGGTGCTTCGACTGGGGACTCCATTGTTCCTCTGGGGGACTTAAACACTTATGTGTGCAATGACAGCATGACCTGGAGGGGCGTGGTTGGGAGGAAAGGCCCACCCACTTTTAACCAGAGGGGTGTTTTGTTATTTGACTTCTGTGCAAGTCGCAGTTTGGCTAGAACGAATATCATGTTCGAACACAAGGATGCCCATTGGTGTACTTGGTACAAGAGCAGCCTAGGATGCAAGTCGATTGACTTCGTAATCACATCACCTAACCTGAGCTGTACGTTTTGGACACTCGGGTGAGGACCAGAGCTGCCAACTGATCACCACCTGGAGGTGAGCTGAATCTGATGCTGCGCAGACCTGGCAGAGCCAAACGTATAGTCAGGGTTTGCTGGGAATGCCTGGCAGAAGAACTGGTCAAGATGGTCTTCAATTCCCACCCCCGGCAAAGCTTTGACCACGTCCCAAGAGCAGCGGGACACATCAAGTTTGAATGAGCCTTGTTCCACTCTGCAACTGTTGAGGCGGCTGTTGCTAGCTGTGGTTGCAAGGTGGGCGGTGCCAGGTGTGGCGGTAACCCACGTACCCAGTGGTGGACACCAGAGGTTTGAGGAGCCATCAGGCTGAAGGAGGTCTGCAAGGCATGGCTGGTCTGTGGGTCTCCAGAAGCAGCAGACAGATACCGGATGGCTAAGTGGGGTGCAGCAGTGGCAGTTTGAGACAAAATCTTGGCCGTGGGAGGACTTTGGAGAGGCCATGGGAAAAGACTATTGATTGGCTCCAAAGAGGTTCTGGCAAACTGATGGAGATGAGCCAGAAAGCGAGGCTCTCAATTTACCGATTGATCTACGTCCCAATCCTCACCTATGGTCATGAGCTTCGGGCAATGACAAAGAAGATGGTGGATACAAGCGGACAAAATTAGTTTCCTTCCCAGGATGGCCGAGGTCAGTCTTAGGGATAGGGTAAGGAACTTGGACATCTGGGAGGGGCTCTGAGAGAGGCCGCTGCTCCTCCGCAGCAAAAGAAGGCAGTTAAGGTGGTTCAGGCTTCTGGTCAGGAGGCCTCCTTTGGGAGTTGTTTTTGGCATGTTCTGCTAGCATGAGGCCCCCAGGTAGACCCAGGACAACCTGGGGGCAATACATTTCTAGGTTGGCCAGGAAAAGCCTGGGTATCCCAGCTGAGGAGCTGGCAGACTTGGCCGGGGAGAGGATTGCCTGGGAGGCCATACTTGGAATGCTGCCCGTTACCCAGATAAGCTAAGGAAGGTGAGGTGTTTATCTGCACAAGGATGTGTTAGATAATCTAAAGTAGTGAAATATAAATCCCTAGGTTTCATTTGTTAGCCTAAATCACTGAGCTATGGCTCTAGATAATGGCTGGAGATGGGGTTCTTGGCCTCCAGCTAGGGTGGATATGCGCAGTTAACTGGTTGTAAACAATACCATGCAATGGGTCTAGATATTAGATTTGTTTTTGTAAATAATGGTAAAAATCAGGAAATTTTCTAGAAAGAGGAAACTTCCATTAAGATTTGTTGAGGAGCGAGATGGCCATTTTGAGTCTGCACTAGGGTTGTCACGGTAACCGGTATAGCGGTAAACTCCAGTAAAAAAGTTGACAATAAAAATAACCGTCCAGTTTTTAAAAAATTAAATTATCTCGGTGGGTTTACCGTGGCCGCGGTTTCGGCGCGGTGACCCTTACCAGCCACCGTCGCTTCTGATGAAGTTCCCGCGCACACGCACTTTTTAGTTTGCAACGGCACCAAAACTTTGAAGCTGAAATAACGGCCGAAGGAGAAGACGGCAGCGCCCAGGACATCCATCAGCCCTCAAAGAGGACTAAATCGGAAGTATGGGCATATTTTGGATTTCTGAAAAATGCTGAGGGACAGTTAATAGAAGACGGCTATCCCGTTTGCAGAACGTGCAGGAAACAAGTGTCTGCAAAAGGCAGCATCACTTCGAATCTCATGGCACATCTGCGTGACCATCACCCACGTCTCTACAGCCAGTGCAAGGTAAGTTAGCATTAGCATTTTAGCTGAAATGCATGACGTGAGGACTTTTGGTTGAGGGAGAATGCAACGAGTCACTATATACTGCAGCCGCAGCGTCCTCTGCCAGCATTTAAACCGTGTCACGGACACCCTGTTGCTGGATGAAGCATCTTATTTGTTGATGATGAAGAGAAATATACAATTAGTTCCTTGTCATTGATTTGTTTACTTATTCAATGCCATTTATACTTGAACATTTGGATTTGATTACATAGTGTAGTAGTTATTTTAGTCATTTGTTTAAAGTGGATATTTATTTTAAATACATATTTTTTAAGGTTGACTTGTACAGTGCTCAAGTCAAGTGTGGACTGGAGTTTTAGATTTTCATTTTGATAATGAAGAAAACAAGTATATGAGAAAACAAGTGGTGTTTCTTTGATTTGTTTACATATTGTTTATGTTTCGAATGTTTGGATTTGTATCATTTAAACCTGCACTGACTACTGTAACATGTTCCAGAAAAAGAAGCTATTTGTTCCTTTACTTGTGAAAAGTTGCACTTTTGCTAAGGCTTTGTGTTATTTTAGGTTTAATAAACACTGTTAAACCTTTTCAGAACTATTTCAGTTTGTGTAGAACAGGACTATCAATGCTTTCTGAACATATGCAACACCGTTTAAAAAATACCGCGATAATACCGAAAACCGTGATAATTTTGGTCACAATAACCGTGAGGTTACATTTTCATACCGTGACAACCCTAGTCTGCACTAAATATTTTAAATTTCTATTGACGACCCCCCCCCCCCCCAAAAAAAAACACTGAATTAATGAGTTCCAACCATTGTCAAAGTGTGTTAATTTTGAAATTCCACATCAGATGTAGATGACACTTCCTGTAGTGGAACTAGTGGTGGACTACTCTTCACCTTCCACACCAGAAGCTGGAATAAGACAATTTTAGGATGTTCTTAAAACATATTGTGTGTAATATGTATAGGTTTTTGGATGCATAATTTATGATTTAAAAACAAGCTGTTGAATGGAGTTTCACAGGAATAACGAGAGGTCGTCCAACTGTAATAAAGTAAATCACGAAGGACTCAAACATTTAAAAATGAGTGTAATATTGTTTTCAGGCATTTCCACCATTTGTAATGTATATTTAAATATCTGTTCAAATATAGATATATCAATGATTTGGTAACTTTTGAATTCCATTTTTTAAGTATTTTTTCTTTAATCAGAAAATACGTTTCTGAGATGGGCTTTTATTTTGAAAAACAGTGGCCCAACCTTTCACCGTAAAGCTGTGAATGCGCACGCCTAGCAAAATCGAGTGAGGGCTCACTTTACTGTGCATCAGTGAGTGGAGGCTGGCTTCACCCCAGTGCGTGTCACTGGTTCTGACAAATTCATTTATTTTTTCTACCGTCAGTGGCGTCTTAAAAAATCCTCTTAAGTATTTCCCCCCAGTGGATAATATTGAAACTAGTTAAACTGGAAAAGCTGGACTCGCTGTACTTGAGCTGCTGCACAGGTGACTCAACTGTGTTGGAACAGGAAAACAGCCTGTTGTAGAGGATTAGGGTTGCGTCCCTCACCTATCGCAGCCTCCTGGCTTCTCTTTCAGACTCCAGGAGTGTCAGCACATCTCCTTCTCTGACTGGGCCCTTCACGTTCCTGATGATGGAGCGGTTGCTGTCGTCCATGAACTCAACACGGACCTGGAGGTCAAACACAAAAACACCAAATTTTATGTGATGGAACGGATTTAGTCTAGGGATGTCCCGATGCACAACTTTCTCACTTCCGATACATGACTGATTTCGCAGCCATCAGTGTTGACTGATACCGATATCAATCAGATATGATACCAGCACGCCTCATACACACTTTTACCTAGGGCTGCTCGATTATGGCAAAAATAATAATCACGATTATGGTGACTGAAATTGAGATCACGATTATTTAGGACGATTTTTCAATTTATGTTGATTTTATTTGTTTTTATTCAGTCATAAAATTGCTCAGAGCACAATCAGGACAAAAATAAGAAACAAGATGATCACTAAAAGAACTCCTGATTCCCTGTATAAAAGACCAATATACTTATAGCTCATAGTCTATGACCCAAGGGCTGTAGACCTTGGTTTAACTCATTTAAGTCTAACCAGTACAGACCCAAATACCAATATCTTGCAAATACTGACAGCAAGAATTATACAGTGGCATTTATAACAAATAAATGCAAATAAATTGATGTTCACAAAATGTTGCATAACATTTATTGAGTTATGTCTAGGTGCTGTAGGAGAGTACACTAGCACCGTGTCCTCAGAGAGATTAGTTATTATTTATCAGCGTGAGGAAGTTATTTCTACCTTATTTACAAACTATTTATTTACAAGTCCATCAGTTAATGTAATAATTGTCCCAACCACAGCTGCACCCCCCACCCCCCAACCCGGTCTCACAGCAATCAGGGGCAAGCTGCACGTGTGTTTAGCGCGCCGCACGCGCACATTTAGCTGTTTTTAGCGGCTCAGGAGTCCGCAGGTGCGGTGTGTGTGTCACTCACTCTGGTTAATCCAACAGGGAGCCGGCTCCGAGAGCTGTTTCTTTAGCGACCGACACATCACTACATCATTCCCTTTCCTAATGTCCTGAAGAACGGTCCGGAGTGCAGGCGGAGTGTTTAGCTAACCTGCAGGAAACGTCGACGATAGTTATCCAGAAAGTAGCTAAGGGTTACCAGAGATGTTTCTGAGGTGTTTGCTAGGTACTTTTAGGATTAAAAAGTCAAGAAGGGGGTCTGAAAAGCTGTTAGAAATGGCGTCAAAGTCGCTAAGTTGGCAACACTGTGGAGGAGCGCTTCATTTGCAACTCAGGGCAGCGCAAGCGGGAGGAGCAAATAATCGGCTTGTTTTGTTTTTTATAATCGTTCAAAACTCAGATCGTAATCGTGATTAAAATTCGATTAATTGAGCAGCCCTACTTTTACCCATTTAGTAGTGTGGAATGTATAGTCTAAAACGCTAGAGTTCTGATGAGAATTAAAAAGAGAGATCATATCTCTCCTGTCTTAGCTTCCCTACATTGGCTACCTGTTAAATTCAGAATAGATTTTAAGATCCTTCTTCTGACATATAAAGCTCTTAATAATCAAGCTCCATCATACATCAGTAATCTGATTGTTCCATATGTTCCTAACCGAGCACTTCGCTCTCAGACTGCAGGTCTACTGGTGGTTCCCAGAATATCTAAAATTAGGATGGGAGGCAGATCTTTTAGTTATCAGGCTCCTCTCCTGTGGAACCAGCTCCCAGCTTTAGTCCGTGAGACAGACACCTTGTCTAATTTTAAGACTAGGCTTAAAACATTTTTATTTGATAGGGCCTATGGTTAAAATCTGATGTTAGCCCAGATCTGGACAAGTGGGGGAGTACAGGGAGGTGGAGTGTACAGTCGGTAAAGACGGCTCTCCCTTGCCCCAACTGCATCTAAAAGGCTAGGTCAGTGGTTGGCGAGCCACATGCAGCTCTGTCATCAATTTGATGCAGCTTTCTGTGATGAACATTTATTGAACTACTAAAAAATATTTAATTAAAATTATTTTATTTTCCAGCACTTTTTTGTCTGTATGCAAATTTTAAAAGGTCAAGATTGTCATCTTTTAAAATCATAACAAAAATAATGAAGACTTGAAATATAACAAATTTGTTCCTCTGCCTCTTAACGCAGTTTGTGTGCTTTGCACTTCAAGCACTAGTCTAAACAACCTGACCAGTGTGTCCAGAACGTTAATTAAATAATTTCACTGAACATTTAACCCGTGGTCCAAAGGCACTCCGTCCTTCTGCTGTGACCCTAAACAGGCCCAACCTGGTGTACAGGTAACCTGCTTGTGTGTAATCAAATGTCTCTAGAAGAGCTTTCTGAGCTGAAGAGGATATGAGGTTCTGGACTTTTCCTCAGACAGGCTCATGGATGCGTCGCCCCATTGGAGATAGGGACAAGCGCTATTCAGCCAAACTTTCATCATCAGAAACATTTTCTGAGTGACAAGTCTCTCTGAGACCAGGTTTGGAAAACACTCGCTTCAGTCAGCGGAATTCTCTCGCATACGCCGAACAGCGAGCTGCGCTTGATTGATTTAGCAACCTCTGCGATGTGCATAACGATGAAAATGTTAGCTCATTTGCATTCGTCTGTGTTCGTAACGACCAAGCCTTGTGGTTTCTCAGTCAAATACGGGAAATATCCGGCCATTTAACGGTTTTGCTTTCTTGTGAAGATTGTTGCAAAGAAAAAATTAAACTTGTTTAACATCAGAGTCATGCGCCGTTATCTCCTTCACTGTAAATGAGGGAAAAAAATGAACTGAACAGAACAGTTTAAACATGTTTTATAAGACAACATTTGTGACGTGTCAAAAACCGGAACCGGCTCAGGCCCAGTAGCCCACCCACAACGCCATGGCTGCTATGGCTCCCAGTGTTTACTTTAGGGTTACTTTAAAAGTCAAATAGGAAATGCTTAGCTGGGTGAAAGAAAAATTAGCTGTAAAAACCGCCAATAACCGGCAGCGTATCGATAATGCTAGCTGAATGCTAGCTTATTGCTAATTTTACGGAACCATCAACCTCTTTCTTAACATTTGTGAATAACATATCAGCTCCAGTTTAATACGTTATGTTTTCCTGTGTGGGAGTCGGAGAATTTCCCTTTGAGCACGGAGGACAGAAGAGGAGACTTCATAGGATTGTGTGCAACTGTTTTCATAAACAGTTTTGAGGATAAAGGTGTGGCATTTCTTTAAAATGAGAAGTATGTGTAAAAATAGGGCTGCACAATATATCGCGATATCAGCATGCACAATATTCATATCACAGAACAGATAAATATCGCAATGGATGTCAGCTCAAATGTTTACTAAACATAATCTTCACCCATTTGGCCAAATGGATGGGTTCTCATAGGTTAGATGCCCGCCCCCGAGGTGGATGGCACTTAATTTTGATGGTTAGCAAACACCTGAGTTAGCCTTGTTCTGCTCTTTCTGCTTTTCCCGGGATCCACTGATCGCCTTTTCTTGTTCATTTTCATTTCCTCTTTCCTCACATCTTTTGCTTTTCTCATTTTTATGAGTTTTTTATTAACTTTGTTCCTGAGTTAAGATTTTATTTATCGCAAGTAATATTGTCATCACAATATTAATCACTGTTATCCAGTATCGCAGGTTTTCCTAATATCATGCAGCCCTATGTAAAAACAAAACAATTCTACATTTCTGTACGGATAATTGCATTTTTTAGTAAAACATTTAGTTGCCATGAACATTTATATTAATAAATTTTGAATGTAAGGGTAGTATTGATGTACAGCAGGTTGAAATATTTCAAAAAAATGGCACCAAAGCATGTAAACCATAAATATAAGTTATGGCGAACTTGTTCTATGGCAGGTCTCAAAGGGTTAATGAAGAACCAATATTAATCGTTTTTAACTTAAATATTAATTTAATTTCTAAGGTTTGGATGTCTGAACAGAAAGCAGAATTTTGAGACTGGTGTAAAGAAACTACTAACAGGTCTGGATGTGGTTTGGTGTGAGGTCTAAAACTCTGCCCTGGGCCTCAAGCCCTGCTGATGGATTTAGTTTCTATAAACAGCAGCTGGATTCTACTTTGTTCAAGTCGAGTCACGTAGTTAACACGTTCAACACGCTCACATCTTCACCAGCAGCTCTGCCAGTTGATTGGTTCTCTAGTAACTAGGGCTGCAACAAACGATTATTTGGATAATCGATTAATCGGATGGGGTCTCGACACGATTAATCGATTAATCGGATTACATAGGGACATTTTTAAAAACTGCCAGGGAAACGTTATTTTTCTCCTTCCTTCACTTTATTAAACACAACATTATTAGAAAACAGTTCAATAGCAGAAAAACAACATGCTATCACCTAAATTGTCTTATAAGGTGTATAGACAGAGACCCTAAGCTACATCTATCTGTGACCTAAAATGCTTGGTCCAAGTTAAACAGCTTAAAGAGCAAGTCAACCCCTACCAGAGTCTAACTCCACTCCCGCTTCATGTTTGAAAAATGCAACACATGCTGTTGCCTGGCAGACCGAGAGGGCGGAGCCGCTAACAAATACACACACACTCAGGCTCACGACAGCATTGTGACATCATAATGTACCAGTTTACATCATAGCATACTTCTTAGCCAATAGCGGTGGCAGATTTAAATTAAAATACAGTGCAGAGTTTTTACCTGACAACGGCACAACACTGACAGTTTTAGGCAGAATATTTAAATTTTAACTAAGATGCACTGAAGTGCCAAATTATTGACGACACGTGTCTGCAGCATGATTAGACACTCGTTTATTTAGTTTATCAGCAAAAAAAAGTTTATTTGGGGGTGACTTGCTCTTTAAGGGCAATTCTCATCTGTTTTGTTTGATCTCATCTGTAGACATTTATTATAATTGGGGATGTCAAACAACTAATTTTTAAATATAATTAAACATAGGCTGTGAATTAATCAAAATTAATCACTATTTCCAAAAATGACTGGAAAAATACCAAATAAAACAAAAGTAAATGAATGCCATCCTCCTTGCGATGATGCCCTGGGCAACTGCCATAAAGTCACATCAAGAAATGCTGCTGATCATTCCAATGATCCCAAATAGACTCACATTAAGCCACATGAAAGCAACTGAACCCAAAAATATATTAACCAGTATATAACTGCACTCTCACACAACACGCCTGCAGCAACAGTTAGGACTCCTCCCTCCCTTTTAAGAGCGTTTTTGCTTCTGAGGACATTGTGGTTGAAAAACCACATGCTAGTAGTCTGGCCCCGGTGTGATCAACCAGTTTCTGCGGGAATGTGACGGCGGAACCGGTTCGCAGCGGCGCGAGTCCCCCCCCCCCCCCCCCCCCCGACTATCAAATAGCGTCGCGCTTACAATTTTATAGACTTTTTTTACGAGCTTAGGGCATGTCTAGCCTGTGTAATAATCCGGGGCTTGGGTGAATCACTTTTGAAAAGTTTTTAACTTACCCGGACACCGAGCTCTCTCCTTCCTCGCTGATGATTCCGACATGCTTGCGTTTAAGACGCTGCATCATCACCGTAGTATCCCCGTGCCATGCTAAGTCTGACCTACAAACGTTGCATGTCTTCGCCTGATTTAACTGAAAATGCTCCCAAACTTTAGAAGTTTTTACTTTTTGGGGGTCTCGCTGCTTCTGCCATGTTCCTCTTACAAACACCTGCCGGCTCTCCACCGGTCTGTGCGCAACGGCGGGCGGGAGGGGAGGGGGCTTTTGGAAGAGTTGCGCAACACAACGAATCGATGACGCAATTCGTTGCCAACGCTTTTAGTAATCGATTTTCATCGAATTCATCGATTCGTTGTTGCAGCCCTACTAGTAACTACCGTATTTTCTGGACTATACAAGTAGCATTTTTTTTTCATAGTCTGGCTGGTCGCTAAAGAAACAGCTCTCAGAGCCGGCTTCCTGTTGGATTAACCAGAGTGAGTGACACACACACCGCACCTGCGGACTCCTGAGCCGCTAAAACCGGCTAACTGTGCGCGTGCGGCGCGCTAAACACGTGCAGCTTGCCCCGATTGCTGTGAGACCGGGTTGGGGGGTGCAGCTGTGGTTGGGACATTTATTACATTAACTGATGGACTTGTAAATAAATATTTTATAAATAAGGTAGAAATAAGTTCCTCACGCTGATAAATAATAACTAATCTCTCTGAGGACACGGTGCTAGTGCACTCTCCTACAACACCTTGACACAACTTCAATAAATGTTATGCAACATTTTGTGAACATCAATTTATTTGTGTTTATTTGTTATAAATGCCACTGTATAATTCTTGCTGTCAGTATTTGCCAGATATTGGTATTTGGGTCTGTACTGGTTAGACTTACAGAAGTTAAACCAAGGTCTATAGCCCTTGGGTCATAGACTATGAGTTGTACGTATATTGGTCTTTTTATACTGGGAATCAGGAGTTATTTTAGTGATCATCTTGTTTCTTATTTTTGTCCTGATTGTGCCCTGAGCAATTTTATGACTGAAAACAAATAAAATCAACATAAATAGAAAAATTGTCTTAAATAATCGAGATCTCAATTTCAGTCACCATAATCGTGATTGTTTTTGCCATAATCGAGCAGCCCTACATATACATATATATGTACACACACACACACAACTCAAGATATAAGTCCATCTCCTGCCAAGTACTGAAATACTTGATTCTATCCCTCTCTCCATCTGCAGACTCATTAATAAAATGAATTATACTAGAACCAATGTGTTTTTAGCCGTTGCATTTTTGCTAGTAAAAATTAGCTGTTCATGTCTATTTTCATAGTAAACCATGCTCAGGACAAGTGGGTCATGTTTCAGCTACAATAGATGTCATGAACAATGAGGCGCTTTAAAAAATGCTCTTATGTGTAGTGACACAAATCTGAACAGATGTTACTTTTAGATTTGTTGCTGTTGAATTTCACAAGATGAGGCCCAAACTTTATCGGTATTTTATTAGTCTGCAAACTCAAGTGTTTGTAAAATAAAAAGTTTCAGAGTAGCCCACTTCTGACGACTCGCTGCAGTGGTGGGCGGTGCTTTGCGGCTCATTACAGGGCCTTTTTAAATAGGAAAGTACCAAAATGTATCACTGAAAAATACATTTACCATTTGTTGGGACCCGGCTTTACTCCCATCTTGATTTTATTACATACTTTATTCCAGAAGGTCCCGCTGGATTTTAGTCTAAAACCAGAGCTCTGACACCCGGCAAGAACCCCAGGTTAGGTCTGCTGCATTGCAAACCCAAAGGATGCTGCCAGTCCAGCAGCGGGTCTATACTGGGTGGAGCCCGCTCACACACCCCACTGTTACAGAAACGAGCTGAACCACTCTGAAGATCAATTCTATAGCGCCTCTCAAGATAAAAATCACGAGGCGCTTCACAAAAACAAAAATATATATAAAAGAATTTAGAAAATGATTAAAATTTCTTTAAAATGATAAAATAGACAATTGTGATTAAAAAATGTAAAGAGAGGGAGTGAATAGGAAAGAGGGAAATCAGTGGATCCTGAGGAAGGTGGAACAGGTGGAGAGCAGAAGGGTGATGAAAAAGCAGCAACGTTTTCTGAGCCTTGTTCATTAAATACTAACGATCGCTTTCTAGTTATTGACGTTAACATAAATATCAAGTTTTTTATCTAACAATCTTGATCTAAAATACAAAACTGTACAGTTTGATCAAGAATTTAAGGACTTAAACAAAGCACCTTTTAGTAGTTGAAAACACGTTATTGAAATTCAAGCATTTAAGGATTTCAAGCACCCTCATCAGTAATGCAGCTGTTTCTGTTGAGCTGCTCTTCTTACAAGCTTTAATAGAAACACTTACGTCCAACCGGACACTGAAAGCCAGGTCCGGAGTGGCTAATCGGGAGGGTCTGGAGAATTCCCGGTGAGCCGCGCGATGTTTGGGCCGCATGGGCCGGTGCTCTCGTTTTTGCTTTTTATCATTTTATTTTTAGGTGCCGGTGTTCAGTCATGGCACTGAAGCCGCCGGGCTGATCACATACGCTCCTCCCGGCTGTCTCTACCTGCAGGCTGCAGCTCGTTTTTTTTTTTCTTTTTCCCCTGTATGCGCCTGTGCGCACCACGTGACCACGCAGGTGACGGAAAGATGGAAAGTAGAAAGAGCAAGGGTGGCGCGTAGAAGGCAAGAATTAAAAAGAGGAAAGCGCTGGAAACAGATGCAGCTAAATGTGCAAAAATGAGCTCCTTTTTTTCTCAAACAAGCTCGCGGTCTTTAACTTCAAATGAAGATAAAACGGGTAAGGCAAGTCAAAATGTTAAACTTTACCGGCTGCAAATCACCATTCAAGTTAATTAAGCATCAATAATGAATTATATGGCGTCATGACATAACGTTATGTAATATAGTTAACAGTATGATGTGACTGATGCCACCAAACTGTCTTGTAGCCCACAAGATCCAGTAGGCCTAATAAGCACCAGGCAGAAACCCACCATTCCAGAGCGGGCATGTACAGGTAGGATTACTTATTGAGTCAGTGAACTGAATATTATTAAAATTTATATGATGAAAACTATCCTGGCTCTATATGAAAGTGTTCTAAAATACTAGATGATTCAGCATTGATCAGAAAACGTGTAAAAAAGGAAAATGAATGCTGAATTGTGACCATTTTCACACAAGTGTCAGAAGAAGAGCCAGGAGCCAGCAGTGAGGGTATTGCTCCTGTTGGGATAGAAGGTTAGCCAACTCATGTGCAAACATCAGTTTCATTATAATAATTTTAATGTCCAAATAATAGTAGTGACCTGATGTATTTTTATTAGTAAATGCACAAAGCCCACAACAGATCGCTATTAGAATGAAAGTAAAATGAAATAAGCCTGCATATTTTGCCATAGAAAATATTTTAATTGGTTCCAAAAAATGTGTTTTCCATATCAAATGTGCTAAAGCTTTACAGATGATTATTTTAATTGTGTGCAGGTGAGTATAGGAAAACTGGAAAAAGTGTGAAAGGGAGTGCTGAGTCATTTCATTTTAAAGATTTGAAAATCTCAGAACAGCTGTTTGAACAGAAGGTAGATTGTTATATTGTCAGAGAATGTGTTGTAAAGAACAATGTTGGAGATGTGCACTGATGTTCAAATAAACCTACATTGTAAAGCAACTCTTTCTTGCACTGAATTACAAGGCTTTACCGAGTAGTGTGCTTTTGTAGACTATACATATAAAGTTCTAACATGATTTTAATAATAATTCGTTAAGTGGGCCGGTCTGGGGTCTGAAACTCCAGGGCTGAAAATGTGTCCCACTCCGGCCCTGCTGAAAGCTGCGATTGTTCTGAAAAGGGGAGCGGGATTACACCCGTTTTAGAACATAATCAAACCCGGCGGCCCGGTTATCGTGATAGTCACGAGCGACTCCGAACTAAATCTGGACGCAGGCAGAACTTAGCACGACTAGCAACCTGACGCGCTGCTAACGTACCTGTGTACATTGTCCCTGGGAACCAGTTCTTCCAAGCACCTTAGTGACCTGTAAGTAAAAGCAGGTCAAAATAAAAACAACAAAGTTAGTTTTATGATCACATTTGTCAACGACATCGTCAAAAGCGCAAACTGCGAGCGGCTAGCCAACAGCGGTAGCACGGCAGGCCTCCATTACGGAGAGCCAGAGCAGAGGACACAACTTCAATTTAAGGCTAATTCGCCATGTTAACTTTCCACGTTCGTGGCCATTCTAAATAGCATTTATCACGGCAACATTACACTTAACTAGCAGTCATTCATTTGCGAGTCTAACGTGTTTTCTTACTCTTGCGAGCTTGATCGGCTGCACGCGGCTGGCGTCCATGTTGTCAGGTCAGACCGGAAAGGAAGTCACGTGTTGCGTGAACGGAATATATAGTTACCGTTACGTTAGTGTTTAACTCAATTTGGTGATTCTTAATAAAATTACAGGTCAGCTAAAATAATAAATATGTAGATAAAAATAAATAATTATGTTAAAAACAAAATATATTTGGAAAGCTTCCGTTTCCGGTAGGCACTAACGAGTAGTTTTTTTAACACGTTTTATTTAACCAATGAAGCTTACAGGCTTACATAAGAATCGGGATTTACAGTCGAATTCTGAGCATGACAAAAAAGCAGGTGTACAAACAGAAACAATAACATTAACCTAGCTCAATATCAACCTGCAGAAATCATAACAAACAAAAAAATTACATCAAACAACATTATTAGGGGTAAAGGAAACATTCACCAAATTGTTATAGAGCCAAATGGCTTTCTTGGAACTACATAATTTAAGAGAATCCATTAAGGATGCAAGTTCTTTCAAAAAAACAATAAAGATCGGTTTGATATTGCCAAATTTACATTTGTGTATAAAGAATTTGGCGAAAATAATCAAATTATTGACAGTGAATTGCTGGATTTTATTTTCCAAACTAATACCATACTTGATGTCAGAAAAAGATAAGGAGCATATAATGAAATTATAATGCTTTTACCCACGAGTGAAAACTATCCCAGAAAATTTAGGATGCATGTGAAAAATAAATGTTTCTCAGTTTCTATATTAGAAGTGCAAAAGGCACAATCGTTCTGTCCAATATTAAATTTAGTCTGCAAGAAATCTTTGCAAGGATAAATACTGTTTATAGTTTTAAAATGAACTTTCTTGGCTTTAGGAGGGATTGGTAATTAGAGATAGTTGCATCTAATGTTTTTAACATCAGAATTACTAAATTGACGTACTAATTCTCGTCTTAAGAGGTAAGGGAAAGTGGGCGTCAGGGAGCCAACATCTAAGGATTTTATTATTGCAGTTCCTGTCCACAAAAGAACAGTTCTTAATTGTTAAAGGAGGCATTATTGGAATAAGGTGAGAATACAACAAAGTGCCTTTCAAATTAGCATATATAGCTAGTGGGATTGCCTTGATTACCTCAGCATATTGCTGAGAAGAACAAGTTAGGTTAAATTTGTGATTGAAAGCCGTAAAATTAAGAAATTCTCCATTCTGGTCCATCAAATGCAAAATGGACCATACTCCATGGAGATGCCAATCATTAAAAAAAAAGATTTCCTTTTAATCAGGATATAACGGTTGTTCCATTTTGGCGTGTTGTGCGGTGTGAAGTTATGTTTATACATTAATTTCCAGTATTGTAGAACTTGCTCGTGAAATCTGGATAACTTAATAGGGAGTTTGGATAATTCAAAGTCACATTGAAGAAGCAATTGGATTCCGCCTACACTGGAGAAAATTTTAGCAGGAAGATTAAACCACAACATATTTATATTCTTTATAAAATTTTGTAGCCATTTTAACTTAAGTGCACCATTCATTATATCAAAATCGATTGCATTGAGACCCCCTTCCTCTATTGATTTGATGATGTCATTCCTTCTTATATAATGATGTCTGTTTTCCATATGAAGTTAAAATTGTTTTGGTTAATTTCTTTAATAACATTTTGAGGAATTCTTAGAGAATAAGCCGGGTAGATAATTCTCGACAATCCTTCCATCTTGGATAGAAGTAATCTACCAAAAATTGAGAGATCTCTTTGTAGCCATATGTGTAAAATACTTTTACTCTTTTTAATTAAGCTCTCAAAATTACATTTTACTCTCGTTTCTAAGTTTTTTGAGATTGTAATCCCCAAATACTTGACTTGATCTTTAACAGGTATGCCATGCAGAGTTGTTTGCGGATGATCATGAATGGCCATTAATTCACATTTATCTATGTTTAAATAAAGGTCTGAGGCTTCTGAAAAACAATTAACTACTTGTAAAGCAATTGGGATCTGTTTCTTATTTTTAAGGAAGAGCGTAGTATCGTCTGCCAGTTGAATTATAGCTAACAAATTACCAAAAACATCTCACTTCTCTATCTGACTATTCTTAATCATGATGCTGAGAATTTCCACGACCATGATAAAAAGAAGAGGGGAGGCTGGACACCCCTGTCGGATGCCTCTTTCAATGTTAAAACGTTTGCAGGTTCCAGATGGCAACAGTACAGTACTATTAATATCCGTGTATAAGGTTTGAACAATTTCACACAACTTTGTTCCAAAGCCAAAATGGTGTAACGTGTCTAACATGAAGGAATGGTTGACTCGGTCAAAGGCTTTGCAGAAATCCAAAAAAAGAACAAAGCCATCATCCTCAATTGTGTCCCTGTAATCTAACAAATCTAGGACCAACCTAATGTTGTTATGCATGGAGCGACCCCTGATAAACCCAGATTGGGAATCGCTGATGATTTGTAAAATACCGGTACCTTCCTTGAGCCTATTAGCCACAACATGAGCGAGTATTTTGTAGTCCACATTTAGGAGCGTAATTGGTCTTAGATTGCCTAGAATTTTGTTATCTTTGCCATACTTCGGAATCAAAGAGATGAGTCCTTGTTTCATAGTCGGCATCAAAGATTTAGTTTGGATACATTCTTGTAATGCAAAAAAGAGAAGATCTTTTATATTATTCCAAAAATGTTTATAAAAGTCAGATGTCAGACCATCTTGACCAGGGGATTTCCCAGCGGAAAGTTGTTTGACTGCTGCCTCTACTTCAAAAATCTCAATCTCTGCATCACATATCATTTTAAATTCCTGACTGATTTTTGGGATGAGATGTGTAATATTATCCAATAGGTTTGATTCATTGCCACCAGATGATGAATAGAGGTCTTTATAAAATGTATAAACTTCTTCAGCAATAATTTTGGTATCCGTGCATTCTACATAGTTGATGATAAGTGAATTAATTAAATTCCTCTCCTGTCGTCTTTTTTCAAGTCCACAGAAGTATGGGGTATTGCGTTCACCTTCCTCAAGCCATTTCACTCTTGATTTAATAAAAGCACCTCTAGCTTTCCGAGAGCTCAGCTCATCCAACTTAGATTTAAGGTTTATATAAGTGGCTCTGTCTGCGTTTAACATTGGAGTTTTCAAACAGTATTCATCAAGTTTATGTATTAATTTAATTTCTTTTTCTCTCAAGGATTTACTTCTCTTAATTCCAAAAGTTATTGCAGATTGCCTTACTTTAAACTTGAAAAATTCCCATCTATTGCAATAACTTCCTATTGTGACATCATATCTAATTTCTAACTTTAGATTATTAATCAAGTCGCAAAATTCACTGTCTTTTAAAAGATCAGAGTTGAATTTCCAAAACACATTTTTTTTCTTTGTGTTTATCTCTGGAGTTAATTGAATAGAAATTAGGCAATGATCAGTTAGAGGTGCATTAGAGATAAAAACGTCTGTAGCTATGTTGGCTAACGGTGTGGAAACCAGCCATAGATCAATTCTTGATCTTATCATTCCATTAGGTTTAATCCATGAGAATTGCTTGGTATTAGGATTCTTGTTTCTCCAAATATCAATCAATGAGAAAGTTTTACATAAATCATTCAAAATTGGATTAACGTGCGGAACATTAAATTTGGATGGGTCTCTGTCCAAATAATCATCAGGTGCGAGATTAAAATCTCCTCCAAACAGAATTAAGTCTGTGTGAAATAGAGTTTTGTAGTCAGAAACAACGTTACTGATTTCTAGGAACAACTTCCTATTCTGTGTGGCATTATTATATCCATGAACATTGGTTAGAATTATGTATGCATTGTCAATCTTTAAAACCGCAGTCAGCCAGTGCCCATTATTGTCCGATCTAAAAGAGATAACATTACCGGGACATTTGTTGAAGCATATAGCAACTCCAGCTGAGTGGTTGCTTCCATGGCTGAAGAGAATTTTATCTCCCCATTGCGCTGTCCAGTAGGTGGCATCAGAAGCACAGGAGTGAGTTTCTTGTAGAAGAACACATTGGTAGTTCCTTCCTTTACAGTGTAAGAACACTGCTTTTCGTTTTAAGTTGTCCTTAATACCCCTAGAATTAAGAGAACCAACGTTTAAAGTCTCTTTTAACACATTCATCTGCTGGGTAACCTCGCAGCAACATAAACTCACAACAAAAGATAACAAAGAGAGAGAAAGTCACGTAGAGTTCTTCTAGGAAAAAGAAGGATAAGTCTGGTTTTTCCTCATAAATAAATCAAAGGAATCAAATGAATCAAAGGCATTTATTTGTCATTTCTGTGCAAGACATACAGAGAAACGAAATTGAGTTTCAGTACACACAATTCAGAGATCAGACATACATGGGCAAGACACATGACAAGAATTGGTGACTGCGGTCATTCGCAACATGAGTCGTGCTACCTTAATAGATGAGAAAGGGAATTACATGAGGGTAAGTTGGGGGAGGGGGAAAAACAGGCATACCAGAGTTACTCCCGACAGGGCGTAGCTGTACTATGCAAAAAAACACCTCAACATATAAGCACGAACTTCAACATTCACAACATGAGACTCCGTTGGGGGGGGGGTTTGGCTGGGATCCTGATCATCCAGGGCCAGCAGCCATGTGCAGCGCTCAGCCAGCTGTGTCCACAGGAGGGAGAGAGATCTTGGGAGGAGCATAGAGCACATTCCTGCAGGTTGATAGCCTTGCTATGAAGTCCACAATCTGAAGGCGGGGGGGGGGGGGGGGGGGGGGGGGACGGGTTTTCCACAGCATCTGTCTGCAATTCTTCCTTCGTGGGGGATTTTGTTTGCAGCTTCAAGGCTGCCTTGGCGTCAGATTAGGATAACAAGACTGTGTTTGGGTCAGGCAGAGATAATTTCCCCCTCTGCCTTCAGTCTGTAACTGGTCATTCCAGTCCTTCAGTGAAGCCAATTCGGGTTATTAAACATCTCCACACCATCCGGTGACCCTCTCCGAGATGACAGCCAGCTTGCGCACTAACACCGGTAACGCAGCTAAGACATTGTCCAGCTTACGATTCACCTCGAGTAGCGTCCCAGTCTGTGAGGTCTCCGCCCGGACGGTGCTGTCCATGGGTGCGGGTCGCCCTCCAATCGCTCCCGTCTTCCCAATATTTCGGAAAACCAGATATCCTCCCACTCCAATCAGAAGAAATCCAGTGATCATCAGGCCAAATATCCACACATCTTCGACGTCCTCAGTGGACAGCTGAGAGAGACAGACGACCTTCCACTCCTTCCAGGAATCGAGCACATATCCCGCTGCGTGCGTCCCTTGCGGGCAAGTGGGAGCCCCCTCCTCCGTTCTCATCGTAGAAAAAATCTTATCGCGTTGAATGACCAATTAATTAAATCCATTTCTGAAAAATAGTGATGTCCAGAGGAAATGCAGAGAAGCGCTCTGTAGCAGACAGGACAAAAGAGCCTTGGGAAAAAAGATAAGGGAGCAAAGCAGAAGCGTCTGTACTCTGTGAATGCCACACTATGTAGTACGCCGACCGTTGATATATCCATAAGGACCACGGAAGTAGGCCTTCTTCCCCTCCTGACGTGCTTGCTTGATCCTTGGCCACAGCACCTCCCTTGCTTCTTTAACCTCCTTGGTGAGGTCTTCAGCGAACCTGATGCCTGCATCTTGGCAGATCTTTGAATTTTTTGTCATCTTCCAAAAGGCGTCTCTATGGTGTCGTTTAGGGAATTGAACGATGACATCTCTCACTCTTCTATTTTCCCTCTGACCGACGCGGTGTACTGTATCCACAATCTCATACATTTTCTCTGCCCACTGCGGCGCAATCTTCTTGAGAAGGTCTACCACAACCTGACGTGTGTCTTCGTTGGCAGATTCTTTCAAACCTTTAATTTTGATGTTCCATCTTCTTTTGTAATTATCAAGTTCATGACATTTTTCTTTCAACAGTGTGAGTTCAGTTTTCAAACCGGCCACTTCGTTTTCTATGTTGTTCACTTTATGCTTACAATCTTTAATTTCAGCCGCATTGAACTCGGTCGCTTTAGCCACGTTAAGTAGCATAGCACAGTTTTGTGTTAGCTTAGCATCAAGGTCTTTCATGCGCTCTTCCTGCGATTCAAATTTGACCGTGAGTTGGTTGATAGCAGCCAAGATCACAGAACCTGATACCTCGTCATCATTCGGTTTCAGTACCTTACAGGTGGTAACTTTAGATGGTGTGGAGGGAGCCGACGCATCTCGGGGTCTTTTATCACTTTGCCGGTCCATATCCATGGCATATTCGTGGTCCGCTTGTTTCCGAGCAGTAGCTGGAGTGTTGGCTTTCAGCTTAGACATCTTAATAGACTGCCCTATTTAACTCTATAAAATCCAATGTGATTCAGTGGGAAATACAAGTTTTAAGCAGTAATTTTGAGGAAAATAACCAGGAGCAGAGAAAAGGTAGAACTGCTCAGGCCGCCATCTTGCCGACCTCCCCCACAGTAAGCGTCTACTTACTCAGCCATCTTGGCACCCTCGAGGTCCAGGCACTAACGAGGAACAGGTTTCCTGGTAATTATTTCTTTTTTTCCCTTATTGAAAGATTCGTACAATCCAGATTATGTACAATTCAGAGAACAATTCTTGGATACCGTGTACTTCTTGTACAAACAACAAGGTAGAACATAGTCAACAACAACAAAATAAGAATAGCAAAAAATACATATGCAAAAACTAAATAAATAAATACATAAAAAAACGCTAGGGGGAGAAACGAAAACACACACGCGTTAAACCAAGGGGCAATTTGGTTGAAAGATTTTCATTTTTTCACAGATAATTATAGTTTTTTTTGCTTTAGGGTTAATAGATTTCGAGATTGAAACAATATATTGCCTAAGTTCAGAGACGTATGCATAAAACAAGGGACAAGTTCCTAAATATTGAGATTTATGAATTAAAAATTTAGCCTTAAAGAAAAGCAAGTTAATTATAAATCTAATGTCAGAGTTGAATTCTTTTTGGTTTTTGTGGATACCAAATAATACATACTTCCAATATAGATTAAAGTCTACATATGTTTTTTCTGAGATAAATATGCAAAGACTCTGCCAGAAATTCTGTACTAGGGGACAAAACCAGAACAGATGTACAGTACATTCCCTGTGTGTCTTACAAAAGGAGCAGTTTACATCAATGTCAAGTTTGAATTTGCTTTGAAGATAATCTTTCGATGGGTAAATTCTGTGTATTAATTTATAGGAAATTTCTTTGACTTTATTTGTGATTAGGTATTGATTAGGTAATCGCCAAACTTCAACTGATATCTTCATCCAACCGGTTCCAAAAGAAAATTACATATAATGTAGTGTTATTGTTCTGGAACAGTGGCGGCTGGTGAAAAATATTTTTGGTGGGGCTGTGATATTTTTTTTTTAAAACAAACTTGTGCTTTCTGAGCTTTGTGCACAACTTCACTATTTCCTGACTTAAGCACAGCTCTTTAATTTCCTGTCTTACATCATTGGACAAGCTGATTAATCCGGGTGTGTCTGACTATTGGCACGCTGCCTTGCGGACCAAGGTTGAAAAATACTGCATTAAATTGCATATAAAATAACATGACCATAAATGGTAAATAGGCAATGCAAGAGGCAAGTAACAAAAACATTTTGTTTAATTTCAACATTTGAGTGAACACCAAAAATTATGAGCAGGTCACTGTTACAGTAATGGTAGTAAACACTACTTAGACAAAATGCCAGAAATTTACACTGTTAAATATTTCTGGAGTGTTGTGCCAAGGTCAACTTTATACAAAGATCAAGTGGATAAATTTGTGTGTGTGTGTGTGTGTGTGTGTGTGTGTGTGTGTGTGTGTGTGTGATACCTCATTTGTACAGAAATTTTGCCCTTCTGTCCTTCTGAGTGGCAAAGCTCTCGATGAGCTTTTTATTGAAGTCAGGAATGTTTGTGACAAGCTTTTTTTTCCATGGAGAGCATGGCAAGAGCATTCAGCCCATCCTGTGTCATGGTGTTCCTCAAGGAAAGTCTTAATCCTCTTTAAAGTAGATAAATAAAAAACAACAGATAAGTACATAGGAAACACTTTCATAGGAAATAATGTCATCAGTATCCTCTTACAAATGTCATATTTCCCAGTTTTTGGGACAATAAAACATTTCTGATTCTCAATCAGATGTTTTTACATTTGAGGTAAAAACATCTAATTGAGAATCAGAAATGTTTAATTGTCCCAAAAGCTGGGAAATTTGTTTGCTGCAGCAGAAGTGTAACAAGTAAACTGGAATCAGATTGATGTATGTACAAATTTACATGAAATACACATTTACGTGATTAAATATGTATAATAAGTATGTGTGTTGAAATTAGTTTTTACAGTTATTGCACATTAAACATGTTATTAAACAAATGTCCCGGTTTGTGGGACAACCAAGGATTTCTGATTCTGATTGTCTTGTTCACAGAAATGTAATGTACAGCTTACCTCTGCACCCAGCTGCTGTTGTTCCCTGCATGGCAACGTTAGCTCTGCTGCCTAGCATGGCTAGCTTCACCGTGTTGTTGTCCATGTGTGCCCGGGATGACTCGTGTTTCTTCACCTTCTCAGAAAAATGTTTCATGTCTGTAACTCCTGACTCATCCATGCCTTATCTGTCCCAGCCGTTTTGAATAACAAACACGGAAAGCAAAATAACGCATTAGCGTGATTGCATCCAGCTAGCCAAGCCTTCCTGGTGTACCAATTTCGGGAGAAGCCTCGTGTGTACAGTTTACCTCTCTCCTTCTCCTGCTGGCTTATACGTCGGGCTGATCTGGTCCAAGCTCTTTGACATTAAGTTTTTCCACCATAGTTCTCCTCTCGAACGGATACTGGAGAAGAGACCGAACTGAATTCAGTGGCTGCTGAGATCCGGTATCCATGCTGGTTGTAGTCACCGGCAGCGTCCATGTTACATCTGCGTCACGACCAAAAACGACTCTGCCGAGTTCTACCGAACACCAACGAATCCTTTGGCGGTAGCTCCATCGCCCATCATGCTTCTGAAACAACGTCGACGCTGATTGGATACATTCCCATTCCTACCCTTTGATATTCTTGTCAGCAATTGGACGGCTGGTCACGTCCTGTTTGGGCGATTCAAAAACAGCCTAGATCCTTCACTTGGAGAAAACCTAATGGTCAGGCGTCCTCAAGAAATGACTATTGGCTAATATCTAATGCAGTAGCAGACTATAAATGTTCTTCAACAATATCAAGTAGACCCTTAACAGATCACTGTGTAGTTAATTTAAACATAACATGTTTACAAGAAGAAAAAAAATATTAGAGATTACTGGAAATTGAATAATAGTCTACTAGAAAATAGGGAACATTGTGACGGCATAAAGAAAATGATAAGGGACACTAAAAAAGATAATAATCTTCAAACAGCTGTACAAAAATGGGAATTTCTAAAATTTTCGATAAGAAACACTATTTTCTTTAGCAAAAAACTAAAAAGACAAGATATATATAGTAAAATTTATTGGTGTGAAGAAGACATAATTAACTTAGCCAAAGCACAAAACAAATAGCTACTGCTAGTTTACCCGTTTAACAATAGATCCACTAGGATAAATACAATAAAGTTCATCTCTCGCCAAATAGAATATTTACTAAGACATCACGGTGTAACCATGGATTGGGGTGTGTGTGTGTGTTTTGTCTTCTCCATCCCCAGTGAGTCGTGGAGGATGGCTGCTTATACTGAGCCAGGATTCTCTGGAGGTTTCTTCCTGTTAAAAGGGAGTTTTCCTCTCCACTGTCGCTGCATGCTTGCTTAGTATGAGGATTGCTGTATAGTCACTGACACTAGTCAGTGACTTGATGCAATCTGCTGGGTTCCTTATATAGGAAACATTATTTCTGATTGGCTTAATGAACTGACCTGAATTGGAATGTTTATTATGTGAAGTGCCTTGAGACGACTCTTGTCGTGATTTGGCGCTTTATAAATAAACTTGAATTGAATTGAAAATTTATTTACAGAAAGCTCAAGGAGCTTATATTCAGTCAAGAGCCAGATGGATGGAGGAGGGGGACGAAGTACAGCGTACTTCTGCAGGTTAGAAAAACAAAGACAGTACAAATTCTATCTCATCCCTCATAATTGAGGACAAAGAATGTACAGACTCTAAAAAAATTGCTAAAGAAGTATTTCAATTTTACAGCAAAATCTATGAAGCCTCATTTGATGAAGGAAATGCGGAAACCTTTTGTAACTTAATTCAGCATAATATCCCCAAAACTGAAAACAGTTTTAAAAATGATTGTGAGGTAGACTTTAAATTAGTAGAGCTGGATGAGGCAATAAAAAAGATGCGCTTAAATCGTTCACCTGGTCCTGCTGGTCTGACGTCAAACTTCTATAAACATTTTTGGGATGAAATTAAATGTTTACCTTATAATGCTATAAAGGAATGTATTAATTCAAATGAACTAATGGAAACAATGAAAAAAGGAATAATTAAATTAATACCCAAACCTGGTAAAGACAAATGATTCCTAAATAATCTACGACCAATAACTTTATTAAACACAGATTATAAAATCCTGACAACTGCATTGGCTACTAGATTGAAAAAGGGTTTATTAACAGTTATTAGTCCAACTCAATCAGGTTTTTTAAAAGGAAGATCAATACACAATAATATTCGTACGGTTCTTGATATTATGGATTACAAATCTTTGTTCCCAGATGATGGATTGTTCTTATTCTTGGATTTTACTAGAGCATTTGACTCTGTGGAACACAGGTTTATACTTAAAACCCTACAATTCTTTGGCTTCGGTGAAAAATTCTTAAATATAATCGCTATGTTACATAAAGATATTAATAGTTCAGTTTCACTCTCTAATGGAACCTGCCCTAGATTTCAAATTTCAAGAGGAATCAGACAAGGATGCAGTCTCTCCCCCCTCTTATTCATATTAGTCACTGAGCTGCTCGCTATTCATCTAAAGTCGTCTAAAGTCCAAGGTCTAAATATAAATGATAATTCTGTCCTAGTCAGTCACTTAGCGGATGATACAACCCTGTTCTTAAAAGACAGAAACCAAATCCCAACAGCTTTAAAAACAATTAAATTAAATTATTTTCAGAGGCATCAGGACTAAATCTCAATAGTGATAAATGTGAACTAATAAAAATACACGAAGGCCCGGAGACCTCCTTGTTTAATATCCCAGTTAAAAAAGAAGTCTGCTATCTGGGAATTTATATTACAAATGTTCCAAGTGATGGAAACCAGAAGAACTTTCTGAACACAGTAGAAAAAAACAAGAACATCTTAAACAGTTGGCTTCAGAGAGATCTGACAGTATTTGGAAGAACTCTTCTAACAAAGATGGAATCCATTTCTAGACTGATATACCCTGCTCAATCATTGGCCATATCTCCTAAAATTATTAAAGAAATAAATAAAATGAATCTTGATTTTATATGGAAGAACAAAAATCACTACATTCGAAAAAGTGATTTAATTAAGAATTATGAAGATGGCGGTATAAAAGCTATAGATTTTGAAATTTTGAATTGAGTATTAAAAATTAAATGGCTTAAATGTTTCTTAATCAACAGAGAGGAAATTTGGCATACAATTCCGAAATTTATATTTGAAAAAGTTGGAGGAATGGAATTCCTATTAAGATGATGGAAAAATAGTCTTGTGCTTTATAAAAATAAGCTTCAACAAACCAGAACTGCTTATTTTTCAGCATTAATTGAGGAGAATAAGCATAATCCTAAATTTCTTTTCAGTACAGTTGCGAAACTTACACAGAATCATAGCTCTTAGCCATCTATTCCCTTAGCCCTCAGCAGCAATGACTTCATGGGATTTTTTACAAGTAAAATTAATTCTATTAGAAACAAAATCTTTAGCATCCTCCCTAATGCGATTTCTTCTTCCTCAGTAAGTGAGGCAGCATCAGAGGTGACTCTAGAACCTCATCTGTGCTTGAACCGTTTTGATCCAGTTGAGCTTTCAGATTTATCAAAAATATTAACTTCATCTAAACCTTCAACTTGCATTTTGGATCCAATCCCAACCAAATTATTTAAAGATGCATTTCCTTTGCTTACTGCCCACATTCTAGATATAATCAATCTATCCTTAGTAAATGGGTATGTACCACAAGATTTTAAGGTTGCTGTAATCAAATCTTCACTTAAGAAGCCTTCTCTGGATCCAGATGACCCAATGAATTATAGACCAATATCTAACCTTCCATTTTTATCCAAAGTCCTGGAGAAAATAGTGGCCATCCAAGTATGTGAGCATTTAAACACTAATGCTCTGTTTGAGGAATTTCAGTCTGGTTTTAGAGAGTATCACAGTACTGAAACTGCATTAGTGAGAGTTACAAATGATATTCTCATGGCCTCAGATAAGAATCTTGTGTCTGTTCTAGTCTTGTTAGATCTCAGTGCTGCCTTTGACACAGTTGATCACAATGTTCTTTTAGAAAGACTTGAACATGTTGTAGGGATCAAAGGAACAGCGTTAGGCTGGTTTAAATCCTACCTGTCTGACAGATTTCATTTTGTAAATGTACATGACAAATCTTCTTCATACTCCAGGGTTACTTGCGGAGTACCACAGGGTTCAGTGCTTGGGCCAATTCTTTTTACTATTTATATGCTCCCAATTGGTAAAATCATTAGACAGCATGGGATAAACTTCCACTGTTATGCTGACGATACTCAGTTATATTTATCCATTAACCCTGATGAACCTAATCGGTTGGGTAGATTACAGGCTTGTCTTGAGGACATAAAAAATTGGATGACTCTTAAATTCTTGCTTTTAAATCAAGACAAGATGGAAGTTCTCATCTTTGGATCAGAAATCCAGAAAAGGAAATTGCTTAGCCAATCGCCTGACCTTAATGGCATTACATTAATCTCCGAGAACAAAGCAAGGAACCTTGGTGTTATCTTTGACCAGGACATGTCATTCAAATCCCAGGTTTCACAAGTTTGTCGGATTTCCTTTTTCCACCTTTGGAATATTGCTAAGATTAGAAGCATCCTTTCCAGGAGTGATGCTGAAAAACTAGTTCATGCATTTATTACATCAAGACTGGATTACTGTAATTCATTACTCTCAGGAAGTCCACAGAATGTAGTTAAAAGTCTTCAGCTTGTCCAAAATGCTGCAGCTAGAGTTCTGATGAGAATTAAAAAGAGAGATCATATCTCTCCTGTCTTAGCTTCCCTACATTGGCTACCTGTTAAATTCAGAATAGATTTTAAGATCCTTCTTCTCACATATAAAGCTCTTAATAATCAAGCTCCATCATACATCAGTAATCTGATTGTTCCATATGTTCCTAACCGAGCACTTCGCTCTCAGACTGCAGGTCTACTGGTGGTTCCCAGAATATCTAAAATTAGGATGGGAGGCTGATCTTTTAGTTATCAGGCTCCTCTCCTGTGGAACCAGCTCCCAGCTTTAGTCCGTGAGGCAGACACCTTGTCTACTTTTAAGAATAGGCTTAAAACATTTTTATTTGATAGGGCCTATGGTTAAAATCTGATATTAGCCTAAATCTGGACAAGTGGGGGAGTAGAGGGAGGTGGAGTGTACAGTCGGTAAAGACGGCTCTCCCTTGCCCTGCCTCCAACATGCCTACATCTAAATAGGATAGGTTATCCAGAGTTATCTCTGTAGTTATGCTGCTATAGGCTTAGACTGCTGGAGGACACACTGACCACTTTTCACACTCTACTGCTTTCTTCTACTATCTGCTCTTTAACTGTATTATTTCCTGCTATTTCAGCTGTTAACTTTATTTTCTCTCTAAGTGTTTTTCTCCCCAGAAGAAGCTACAACGATGTTCTGCTGAGCTGTGGTGGCCTCATGGAGGGGGCCATCGTCTAGCACACTGCTGCTAACCACTTAAACATTCTCCCTCTCCTGATAATAACTTTTTCTTTCTTTGACGTTGGATGTGCTACTACTAGTTTACCCGTTTAATTATAGATCCACTAGGATAAATACAATAAAGTTTATCTTTCACCAAATACAATATTTACTAAGACATCACAATATAACTATACACATTACTTGTCTTTGTGTGTGTGTGTGTGTGTGTGTGTGTGTGTGTGTGTGTGTGTGTGTGTGTGTGTGTGTGTGTGTGTGTGTGTGTGTGTGTGTGTGTGTGTGTGTGCTCTGTCTTCTCCATCCCCAGTGAGTCGTGGAGGATGGCTGCTTATACTGAGCCAGGATTCTCTGGAGGTTTCTTCCTGTTAAAAGGGAGTTTTCCTCTCCACTGTCGCTGCATTCTTGCTTAGTATGAGGATTGCTATATAGTCACTAACACTAGTCAGTGACTTGATGCAATTTGCTGGGTTCCTTATATAGGAAACATTATTTCTGATTGGCTTAATGAACTGACCTGAATTGGAATGTTTATTATGTGAAGTGCCTTGAGACGACTCTTGTCGTGATTTGGCGCTTTATAAATAAACTTGAATTGAATTGAATTGAATGTGATTTTGAAATCCCGAAGTTGCCTCTTAAACTTTCCGAATTCCACAGACAAGTCCTCTTTTTTGGAAAAATGGTTTTCAAACATAGCTTCAGCCCTCGTGATGTTCCGATATGGAATAATAGAACTATTTTGGATAGAACCAAAACCATATTTGTAAAAAGTTGGATGGACAGAGGAATTTGGTCAGTGACATATTTTAGACGAAAATGGAAATATTCTTTCACTTAAGAACTTCAATCTCAAGCATGATGTTGACATTTCTGAAAATGAATATAATAATTAAAAATATCCCAAGTGCTCTTGTTCATCTAGTTAAAGCTTCTATCGGTTATATATTTAACCCTAGACTCAAAATAATAGCAGTTGATGGGATAGAAATTTTCAATAAAAAATGTAATAATATTTTCCTGAGAAACAAATTAAACAAAACCTTTTATCCGAACCCAATACTCCGATTCTCGTTACTACACAACTTTTCAAAAGAAGAAATTAAAATTTTGAGAATCAACTATCTAAAATTCTCTTTACCCTGTAAGTATAAAGAAGTCCATTTTAAAACCTTGAATGATATTTACCCATCTAACCATTTTACACAAACTAGATTTAAGTTCAATATGGAAAAATGTTACTTATGCAAACAAAACGATGAATCGACCAAACATCTTTTCTATGAATGTGATAAAATTTTAATGATGTGGAATTCACTCCGGGATTGGCTGAACTCCAATCAAATTTATATAAACAATTTCACAGTTGAAGATATCTTATTTGGTATGATACTAAAAGATAAAAATACCGAATTTCTAATTAATAATTCATAATCTTAACAACATTTTTCATACACAAATGCCAATATCTCAAAAATCCACCTACGTGGAATAATCTCAAAAATGAAATGAAACTGCTGTTGAGATCCTTAGGTAAAATGTGCACCCCCAATGCGATAAAGCTTTATAATTTCATTATAAACCTCTTTTTGGTTGGTATACACAATAGACCTTGTTTGCTCTTTAACGTCCCCCTTGTAAAAGTTTCATTTATATACACATATAATTTGTTTTTTCATGTTTTCTTACTTGTATCCCTTCATTTTCTGTTTTTGTTTTGTTGTTTTTTGTTTATTGTCTTCTTGCTATACCAAGCTGAATAGTATCTACAAAATGCAAGTTGGCATGAACACGAACTTCAGAGCTACTCTGTAATGTCATTCTGTTACGAATTTTGAAATGTAGTCACTTTTGTTCGTTTTTCAAATGTTCAATAAAAGTTCATTTAAAAAAACTAGTACTGTCTGTATTTTCTCGTCGTGGATTGGGCGATCAAAGCTTACAATAAGTGGCTGAGAAAACCTTTGGGAGTGGCCTGCAAAACGCCGTCTTTTACGCCGTCGGGAAAGTCACAGAACGCCGTAAAGACGGCGTTTTGTGCTGTCAAAAACGCCGTCTTTTACACCGTTCTGAGGAGGCACTAGAAGTGCCTGCAGTCCGGCGTTCAATGCGGCGCTGAATGACTGGAAAAATGTTGTTTTTTATGGCGCTTTGAAAGACTATATGAAGACGGCGTGCAATATGGCGTTCTGAAGGGATTTCCACCGCTTTTTTCGGCGTTTGAAGTTTAAAGACGGCGATTAAGATGCCGTTAAATAACCAAACGTGCTCAAAAGTGGACGAATTGTGATCCCTCAGGCTTGCGATATGAACGCTGCTTTTGTCGCCGCTCTGTGACATAAAACAACTAATTTCACTGTATAGATAAAGCCTTGAAGTGTAGTAATATTACCACAACATGTGTAAGTCTCCCGCGTCAAGTCTATGTATCATACGGTTTGTAATAAGGCAAACCGTTTGTAAATCCGTTAATATTTCATCAAGTTATTAGTATTTATATTTGCACCCGCCCTCAGCTAGAGAATGGTTAGCCGTCCGAAGTAAGATGGCCGCCGTGTAAGGACGCTGTCGACTCCCATTTAGGGCATCTAGTAATATATATGATATCTATGGTCCTCCTGCCACCAGAACAGCTGTTTAGGGGAGTATTGTAATGAAAATGAGAGCTTAGCGCTATAATAACTATGCTGTCCTGTTTTGCTAAATATTTGTTTAAATTATTTTTTTTAACTTAAGCTTGCCACAGTTATGGTTTGTGAACTTACTCAGTAATTGAAACTAGGATAAAACCAAATGCAACATAAATACTGAAAGAACATCTTTCCAAAAATGGTGGTCTTCAGTCGTCTTTTTCAACTACCTGATGATTTCTGGCTCCTCTTCATTCAGTGCAGAAGGAAAAAGATTCCTACGGCTGCGCGCCTCGTGGCCTTCTCAGGTACACAGGGTCGCCTGCCCAGTTCAGCATGGCCTTTTATGTTAGATCACTTACAATGAGGTTATGGACATCAACCAACATGAAACAAGAATATCTAACAAAATTCAGATATTTAAGAACAAATAAAAGTCATGAACTCAAATCTGCAGAGTTAGTAATTACGTTTTTCATTTTTGAGTAAGATAAACTTCATAGAAGTCAGTTAGTGCAACTTTTTCAGGGAACCCACTTTGTTTATCAAGATATGTTGTTCGGTTTTACAGTGTGTGTGTGTGTGTGTGTGTGTGTGTGTGTGTACGTGTGTGTGTGTGTGTGCGTGTGTGTGTGTGTAGATGGTTATCTGTCTTGTCTCCATGTTGGACTGGTGACCTGTCCAGGGCATGCCACACATTTCACTCATGATCGTCTTGCAAACGAACAAGCAGGTTTAAAAGGAATAAATGCAATAAAACATCGAGTCGCTTAGTGATACCTGCAACATAACGGGTAAACAAAGGGAACTCTGCAGGTATAGCTGCATTAGCATGTTGTACGAGGGCTCTGTAGCCTTGTTAGAGGTGTGGTACTGTTATCACCCCACTCTATGTCTTTCCAGCTCTCTGAGAACCCGAAGCCTTAAATCACAGTACTAATCCCAGGGAACAGTATTTTTAACTTGTGCTGGGTCAGAGAGAGCAGCAATAGGATTAGAGAATCAGAGAAGGCACTTAATCCTAACTCACGCAGCTGATCTTCTGCACCCTGGCTGAAAGGCTCCTCAGCACTCTCTTTTTTACGTCTCACAGAAACAAAGGTTTAGGAGAAACATGGGCTTTTTAGGTAATATTTTGTCTTCTGTCTGATTCTTACTGAGCTCAGGGCCACACTTTGAACCAAATCTTTCTGCTTGTTGGTCTGCTGAAGGGCTGGCACAATGGCTGCTATGAAGCCCAAGCTGAAAGTGCTGAAAAAGCGGCGCTCCAGTCTTTTTGCGAGCATAAAACGGGACACGAGCTTGTCACACAGCATTGAAGAAGAAGATAGTGAATTTCCTTTTTCCCAGGACAGCTCGGTGAAACCATGGACTTCAATGGACAACCTTGATGCTCCTGTTGAGGAGAAGAATGAAAGCAAAGAGGCACCGAATCCAAGAAGATCGAACATAGTAAATCTGAATGTGGGTGGAAAGGTCTTTCACATCCCAAAGCATCTGGTTCTGCGATACCCAAAGACCCGGATCGGAGTTCTTGCGCTCTGTGATGATCCAGTTAAGCGAATGAAACTCTGTGATGATTACGATGTTAAGAGCAACGAGTTCTTCTTCGACAGGGACCCCATGTTTTTCCATTACATATTTCACTTCTACTGCAGCAACGTTCTCTGGGTAATGGACAGCCTGTGCCCTGCCAACTTTGAAGAAGAGATGTCGTTCTGGGGACTCAAACTGAGGCACACTCCAAGGTAAGATGGATGTCACTGATGTTAGTCAAGATCTGGTGAGGAACAGAGTCCGTCAACCTTCCTCTGTTTTAGGTGCTGTCGCATTTTGTTTGAGGAGAAGCTGGATGACATCAGAGACCAGCTGAAGGTTAACCAGGAGCTGCTGGATGAGATTAAACCTCATCAGGATGATGAAGGCTACACAACGATGTTCATGGGGGACTTGCGAAAAGCTCTTTGGGACTTGATGGAGAATCCTTACTCCTCTCTAGCAGCCAAAACCTTTGCTGTATTTTCTAGTCTTTTTGTTCTCATCTCTATTGTTGCCATGACGATGAATACAGTGAGAGAGCTTAGGGAATATAAAGTTGCAGGTAAAACCTACATGGAGTGGGTGGAGATTTCCTCCATCCTTTTTTTCACACTGGAATACTTTTTGCGGTTATTCACCACGTCTGACATCAAACATTTTGTCAGAAGTGCTCTTAACTTTGTTGATGTGGTGGCTGTCATGCCCTACTTTGTCCAGATCATCTTTGAGACGTTTGTTATAGACTCAGAAGACGTCAGTGCACAGGAAGACCTGAAGACCATGTCACGGGTCAGCAAAGTCAGCAAGGTGCTCAAAGTGGTCAAGCTGATGCGTATCTTCCGTATCCTGAAACTTGCTCGTCACTCCACGGGAATGAGGGCGTTTGGTTTCACCATCCGCCAGTGCTCTGAGCAGGTATGGAAAGAGCTGTGATGAACACGTTTACTTGTGGTGTTAGTATCTGTAGTTTTACACTTAGTCTGTAAGGAAAAACGTAATCTTCACAGTTCACATCACAAAGATAAAGCCTTTTTCAGTACGAAGGCGGTCGGGTTTTCATACAGCTTCTAGGCCAGTGTTTCCCAACCCTGGTCCTCCAAGGTTTCCATGTCTCTGCTTCAGCACACCCGACTTACATCAGCTCTTCAGGAGAACATCAAGTGCTGCAGATGCCTGTTAATCACTCATTCATTTAAGTCAGGTGTTTAAAAGGGTAACATGGAAAACATGCAGGACAGCGGGCCTTGAGGACCGGTATTGGGAGACCCTGTGGACAGACTGCCATTCACACTGACTGTGGTTCATCTGCTGAACATCTCCAGATTTCGGCTCTCACAAGAGAACCAAATGATTAGATATCTGGCACATACGTTTAAAACATACATGTAAAAATAACATGAACTCTCATACAACTGATGTCTCCATCATTAATAGTAGAATTAAATCCAGAAAAAATAATGCAACACGTTAATGTTTGAAATAAACTGGATGTATGTCACTGAAACACAGCTCACTTCTCATCTGGCCCATGTCATTCAAGTTTATTTATAAACCCGGACCAGTCGTCTCCAGGACCTTCACACAGTAAACATTCCAGTACAGGTCAGGTCATTCAGCCAATCAGTAACAAGTTTCCTATATAAGGAACCCAGCAGGTCGCATCGAGTCACTGACTAGTGATGGAGAAGACAGAGCACGCACACACACACACACACACACACACACACACACACACACACACACACACACACACACACACACACACACACACACACACACACACACACCAAGAAGTGTGTCTATGGTTATATTGTGATTTATTAGTAAATATTCTATTTGGTGAGAGATAAACTTTATTGTATTTATCCTAGTGACTCAACACTCAACAAAAATATAAACACAACACCTTTGTTTCTGCTCCGATTTTTCATGAGATGGACTTAAAGATCTAAAATTCATTCCAGATACACAATATCACCATTTCTCTCAAACATTGTTCACAAATCAGTCTAAATGTGTGATAGTGAGCACTTCTGCTTTGGTGAGATAATCCATCCCACCTCACAGGTGTGCCACATCAAAATCCTGATCCAACATCAAGAGTAGTGCACAGGTGTACCTTATACTGCCCACAATAAAAGGCCACCCTAGAATGTGCAGTTTTGTCTCACAGCAAAATGCCACAGATGCTACAAGCATTGAGGGAGCGTGCAATTGGCATGCGGACAGCAGGAATGTCAACCAGTTCTGTTGCTCGTGCATTGAATGTTCATTTCTCCACCATAAGCCGTCTCCAAAGGTGTTTCAGAGAATATGGCAGTGCATCCAACCGGCCTCGCAACCGCAGACGACGTGTAACCACACCAGCCCAGGACCTCCACATCCAGCAGGTTCACCTCCAAGATCATCTGAGACCAGCCACTCAGACAGCTGCTGAAACAATTGGTTTGCATAACCAAACAATTTCTGCACCAACTGTCAGAAACCGTCTCAGGGAAGCTCAACTGCATGCTCGTCGTCCTCATCGGGGTCTTGACCTGACTCCAGCTCGTCGCCGTAACAGACTTGAGTGGGTAAATACTCACATTCGATGGCGTCTGGCACGCTGGAGAGGTGTTCTCTTCATGGATGAATCTCGGTTTACATTGTTCAGGGCAGATGGCAGACAGTGTGTGTGGCGTCGTGTGGGTGAGCGCTTTGCTGATGTCAGTGTTGTGGATCGAGTGGCCCGTGGTGGTGGGGTTATGGTATGGGCAGGCATCTGTTATGGACGAAGAACACAGGTGCATTTTATTGATGGCATTTTGAATGCACAGAGATACCGTGATGAGATCCTGAGCCCCATTGTTGTGCCGTACATCCATGAAAATCACCTCATGTTTCAGCAAGATAATGCACGGCCCCATGTTGCAGGGATCTGTACACAGTTCTTGGAAGCTGAAAATGTCCCAGTTCTTGCATGGCCAGCATACTCACCGGACATGTCACCCGTTGAGCATGTTTGGGATGTGCTTGACCGGCGTGTACGACAGCGTGTACCAGTTCCCACTAATATCCAACAACTTCGCACAGCCACTGAAGAGGAGTGGACCGACATTCCACAGGCCACAACTGACAATCTGATAAACTCTATGCGAAGAAGATGTGTTGCACTGCATGAGGCAAATGGTGGTCACACCAGATACTGACTGGTTCTGAGTCCCCAGACCCCCAATAAAGCAAAAAAAAACTGCACATTCCAGGGTGGCCTTTTATTGTGGGCAGTATAAGGTACACCTGTGCACTACTCATGATGTCGGATCAGCATCTTGATGTGGCACACCTGTGAGGTGGGATGGATTATCTCATCCGGTCTTGGGGATTTTCCGCCCTTTAATCTTCCAGTTGCTTCTTTGACTTCCTCGTGTGTTGTTGTATTTACTAGTTTACTGTTCTGACTATCTATGACCTTAGTTACGTGTAGTGAGTCCAAGAACTTGTTAGTCTGTCGTTCGTCCACGGCTTGAGTCTGAGAGTATAAATGTTTGTAAAAACCTTGGAAGCACGATTGAATTCCTTCTGGGTTTGTTTCTATTTGTTTTGTTGCTGGGTTTCGTATTTCATGAATACTTCTGTCCATCTGTTGTTTTTTCAATTAGTAGGAAAGTAGCCTTAGAGATTTCCCACCTGATTCATAACAACGCTGTTTAGTAAAAAATGAGCTTTTTCTGTATTTCAGTATTGTTCATTTCCTCTTTATTTAGTCACTTCTAAAATTTAGCTTTTACTTTTCTTTTTAAAAGTTGTAGCGTGTTCATTTTGTAATGTTTTTAATTCTTTCTCCAATTCGTTCACTTTATTATGTGTGGCTTTTCCTCATGTGAGGTAGTAGCTATGATCTTTCCTCTAAGTACAGCTTTTAAAGCATCCAGAGTTAGGGTTAGGGTTAGCAGAGTATTAGCGGTGTTACCTCTTTATCGTCGTTAAGGTCCAGAGAGGATCTCATTTCAGACTTTAGTTTCTCCTTAATTATATTATTATTAAGAGTGTTTGAGATCATTTTCCAGGAAGTTTGTTTTCTCTTATCGTCAAGGTTTACTGTCAGAATCACAGGAGAGCATTTTAGAAATGTATGTAGGTCTTTTCTTGTAGGTGAAGAAAGGGTCCATCTGGGAGTATGAAGGATCACTCTTTTAACTGAAGCTGGGATGGAGTACAGCAGATCAGGACGTTTATCCAGCAGAGCAGGAATGGTGGTCGATGGAAAACATCTCGTCATGACATTGAAAAAGCGGACATTCCTGATTATTGAATCACCCACCAGTAAAGTGGTCGGTGAATACGGGGTGTAGAGGACTCCTGATTTGTGTTCCCGTGGAGTAGTGGAGGATTCTGGCGATGGATTAGCCCTTTGATGCATGAATTATGAAATCTTCAACCATGATTTTTTAACAATTTTTCTCATTCATCTTTAGGTGAGAATGAAACAAATTTCAACAAATATTTTTTGTAACATTTTGTTAATTTACTAATAATTTATTACCTGCCCAACTCAGTGGACAGCGTGCGTTCTGAACATGAAATTTGTTAGCTTGACTTACTGAAGTCCAAATGGAGGGGCTCACATGCAATAAAGTCTTCAACAGCTGTGCTTAACAGCAAAATTAAATAAAACACAATTTTGAGTACCTGCCCACTGTAGTGACCGTTATGCATCAAAGGGTTAACCACATCAGATCAAAAGAGCTTGTTCTGGCTCCGAGCATGTGGGCTAACATGCGCCCGCACATAGACTGGTGATTTGGTTGGCTGACAAAGGCACTTTGACAACAGAGGTGCCTACTGGGGCCAGTGGGGGAGCTGGCTCCCTGGAGGGCTAAGCCAAACCAGCTGTTCCTCCCCATCCCCGCATGTTTCTCTCCTCCTGCTCCCTCACATCATCACACAAACATACACATAGGACCCTGGGGGGCGGACAAGTCAGGGAGTGCGGGTATGGACCCTATTTCCACATTCCTGTGGCAACCTGCCCCCCAATTTTATTTGCACCTTAAACACTTCCACTGACGACATTCCACACAAACACACACTTAGGGCCTTGGGAGTGAGCACATTCAACATCATTTGGCAGGGGGATTTCTCAGCCTCCTCCCGAGTGCCGGTGCCCACTTCCAATTTTAAACTGCACTTAGACACAGAGGGCTGTGGGTGCAAGTGGGGTGGTGTGGTGGCATCAGCTGGCATATGCCAGACAATGCCCGCACTGCCCACTCACCATAGCCATGGAATACAACTCATCAACACATATTAACACTATATTGGAGCAGGCGGAGGGAGACTAGGGGTCTTAGCACACCTCTGTTGTTGCTGGGCTTCCTGGGGCTGGAGGCTAGGAGGGAGATCTGGCCGTCTGGTTGGGGTCTGGGGTGGTGGGTTGCTGTGCTCAGCGTTGGGCGGGGGAGCCTGCTCATCAGCACCCCAGCAGAAAGGGTCAAACCCTGGTAACCGGTGATGGTTGTACCCCATGTGCAGCAGTACCGGGACCAGAGTGAATAGGGTGTGTATGGGGAGCATGAGTGGGTGTCTGGCGTGCATTTTTGTAAGTCTTGGGTTGTATGTGTATGTGTGAGCATGAGGGAGGGAGTGTGTGACTGTGTCTGTGTATGACTGTATATGTCAGGTGGGGCCTTTGACTCCTCCCCTCTCCTGAAACTTCTCTTGATGATATAGATCTTCGTCCCCCCTCCTCCTGCCACACCTGGTGTGGGGTGCGGTGCCTTGGTCTGTCTGAGTGTTCGTGGCTCCCGGGTCAGGGGGTTTAAGATCTTTGGCGCCTGCCTGACCAATCCCGGTGGCTGCCTGGTGGGGTCTGGGTCCCTGGGCTCTGCTGGGTCTCTGGCGGGGGTGGTCGCCCCTGGGTCCCGGGTCGCTGGGTC